CCGTTCCACTCCAGAAATAGATTCAGGTGGGTAACCGTGTTGGTCTGAAGCAGGGGTCATTTCGTAGGAGAAGAGCGGCAGGAGCTCATTAGCATAACTTATTAGCATATGCCACACCCCCTGACATCACCGGAAGTGTGCACCAGCCCCTCTGACAGGCAGAAGCACCTGGGATCCATTCTTTCCCCCCCTCTCCCTTCCCTTCGCCTCCAAGTCGGGAGAAGGAAAAGGGGAGGGGGAGGATCTCAGGCGCTTCTGCCTGACAGAGGTGCTGGCGTGCCCACAGCCAGCCTGGGTGAATTATAGAATCATAGACTCATAGAGTGGGAAGGGACCTCCAGGGTCATCTAGTCCAACCCCCTGCACAATGCAGGAAATTCACCAATACCCCCCCCACACCCCAGTGACCCCTGTTCCATGCCCAGAATATGATAAGAAAAAAACCTCCAGGATCACTGGGGGCCAAACTGGCCTGGAGAAAAATTGCTTCCTGGCCCCAAAGTGGTGATCAGCATTTCCCTGGGCATGTAAGAAAGGGCCACAAGAACTAAGCACTGATGCAACCCTTTCTGCTCTACCTCTCGTGATTTGCCTAAGTTCACACAATCAGCATTATGATCCTTTTAAAGTTGAAAGCATGATATAAATGGAAAGGACTATTTGTAAGATTATCTGTAAAACACAAGACCAGGACGCATCTCACTTCTGGCAATCACTTGGAGAGACCCTATCTCTCAGCTTCCATTGCCCCACACACACCCCACACTGGAATAAGAACATAATATCAGGCCATACCACATTGCAATAAAGCCCCTACAACTGTATACAGCCACTGTTTAAACCACCTTCCCTTCCCTTGCTCAGGATCCCCACGGCTGCAGAGAGCCCGAGCAAGCCAGCTGCTGGAGGGATGTGCATTCGGTTCGTCTGAACCAAATGCACCGCCGAAATTAGCCCATTCGGGCCCCTTTCAGGCTGCTGCGGGCCGAATCAGATTCTCTGATCTGAATCGGCTTCCCGCAGTTCGGCCCCATTATGTCCTATGGGCCATTGAAGTCAATGGTGAAAACATATGGTATATCCTGGGGGCTGGAGGAGAGGGGGTTTAAGAGTGAGGCTCCAAAATCGCAGGGTAGCTGCTGGAGCCTCTCCTCAAGATACCTGCCATATTTCAGGAACATTGAACCAGGGGGTCCAATTCTACGGGCCCCCAAACAGGTTGCCCCATCCCCTCCATTGTTCTCTATGGTGGGAAGAAAGTTACTTTTTAAAGAGCCCCTCCAGAGATCTGGGGGAGCCAGAATGACATCACACGTGAGAGGTGGAATTTGCCCCTATGAGTCCAAGGCCACCACCCCGGTGCTCAGGGAGGCAAGGGAACGTTCCCCCCCCCGCGGGCTTTGCGGCGGCCTTAACTTTTTAAAGAGCCCCTATCAAGAGCTGGGGGAGCCAGAATGACCTCTTGCGTGTGATGTCCGAGCGGCAACGCGAGAGGTGGAATTTGCCCCTACGAGTCCAAGGCCACCACCCCAGGGCTCAGAGAGGCAAGGGAACGTTTCACCCGCCCCCCCCCTGCCGGCGTCGCAGCTGCCGCCAAAACTTTTTAAAGAGCCCCTATCGAGAGCTGGGGGAGCCAGAATGACCTCTCGTTGTCGCTTGGGCATCACATCCGAGAGGTGGAATTTGCTCCTACGAGTCCAAGGCCACCACCCCAGGGCTCAAGGAGGTGGGGAAATGCCCCCCCCCCCCTGCACTGGCCCCAGCCATAACTTTTTAAAGAGCTCCTAATGAGAGCTGGGGGAGCTAGAATGACCTCTTGCGTGTGATTTCCGAGTAGCAACACCACTCGGAAATCACATGCGAGAGGTGGAATTTGTCCCTACGAGTCCAAGGCCACCACCGCGGGGCTCAGGGAGGTGGGGGAACCTTCCCCCCCCGCGGCTGCCCAACTGATGGCTGGTGGGAGCAGGGGGTGGGGCTTATGTGCCCGCCCCCTCTGCTCCTGACTGGCGGAGCGGTGCTCCGGTGCGCTCTGGCAGGAACGGAGGCCTGGTCTGAAGCAATAGAACAAAACAAAGTTTGTTCCTCCATCTGTTCCAGCAATGGGAGAGGCGGGGGCCACGCACCTGCACGCTGAGCCCTGACTTCTGAGTGACTTCGTCACTCTGGGAATTCCCCAGTCCCTCCAGTAATGCCCCCCAAAGTCCCCCGCTGGGGACTTTGAGGGACCTGACAACCCTAGGGCCTTGTCTCATGGCTCCAGGTAGGAACACTTACTTCTTTCAAGATTTCCTATGCCAGAACCATACTCCTTGGCAATGCATTCTGCTTAATACTCTTTGTGGATGGTCTTGAGAACATACTGTATACCTTTAGCGTATCTGAAGACATAGCTTGGTCCTACGTAATTTTATATAATAGGAAGTCCCATTGGGCTCAGTGGATCTTATTCTTGAAGTAAGAGTGCGCAAGACTGTGGTATTACAATCCCACATGTAGGCACTTTCTCTTAAAAGACACACATACACACACATTTCAGACTCACATGCTGTTCCGCTTTTTCAAGTGAATGAGACTGGAGTGTAGACTAGTGCACAGTTTACAACCACTGCATGACGACTACCTGAAACAGGCTACCATGAGGCAGCCATACCATGTACAAATGGGCTCAGCACACGGATCATCTGCAACACATAGAGACTGTACATATCACTGCAACGAATTTCAGGCAGTGTCAGGGAAGCTCTCCCTACATCCATGCAGCAAGGTGCTCTGCACATTATGGCTGTCACGCAGCTTGTTGCTTCCTGTGACTGCCATGCGCTGGGCCTCTGGCATGCAGGCAAAGACAAGCTTCCGGTCCTGGAGCAACTTTAAAACACCAGCTTCAGTGGCTAATCCCAGATTTAAATCCTAATGACTGCTGTACACAGAAGGCCCTGGGCACAAGGCAAAGCCCTTCGGCTCCTCACCCCCACCTGCTGTCAGCGGCCTCAGTGGCTTTGCTAACAGCTGACAAGAGCACAGGAAGGACACCCGGACTGCCAGCTGAGGGGGGGCAAGACCTTTGTTTCCATCCAGGGAATCCGTGCACCGCTACTCTCGCAAAGCGTGGAGGGAGAGGTCACAGATCATAAGCAGGCCTCTCCGACAGAATGGGGGGGGGGAGAGACCGATTTGCCACATTCAAGGTGGGGATCATCACAACAGTCACACTGAAAGGAGAAAGTGACAATCTTTATCTCACCTCATACACAACAAAAAGGAGAAGGGAAGGCAGCCCTGAAAAGATGTGCGAAGACATTCTAAAGAGACCACAAATTCTTCCAATTTGAGCACAAAAGATAATCACCATAATCACATAATCTGTTACGCACTCACATACAAAGAGTAGCCAGGATTAATTTAAAAAAAAAACCTTGCAGGCAAGTATAAAAGCTCGCACACCATTTCATGACTGGTTGCTCTGGATAGAAAGGCACGGCACGACTTGTTTTCAAAGTGTATAAGAGAAGCTCCTGGAGTGATTACCTCCCGCCATTCATTTGGCATACTGCTAGCTGCTCCCTAGGCGCAAAAGCCACTGGTGGAGAGATTCAGTGTTTCCCTCCCTGCTCTTCCTGAAGCTCCACATCACACGCAACAAATCTAGGTTTGCCACCAAGTATGCACTTGACAGGGGGATGAAGCCAAGCCTGGGACGCCTTCATGTTTCCAAAGATATCCATACATTATGTGTTCAGTGCAGACCTAACATACTTATTGTTTGAAGTAACCCTGGCTTTTTATTTCTGTTAGCCCGTGTCGGGAAATTAAGCACCCACTTTGGGAAAGATAAGAGCGGGATATGAATGAATCTATAACCTACACTTCCTATTGTGCTGTGCATAAACATTCAAACGCTACTAACAGCTACTGCTTTCTTGCAGAGAGAAGGCTGCCATTTCAGTGGACCATACTCATATATCCTTCTAATGTGCATCGTATTTTCTTTACTTCTAGAAGGTTATGAGGCCCAAAGGAGAAGAACACAGCATTTAAAATCCCCAGGTGGAAGGTATCCAAGAAAAGCAGGAAGCGTAGAGAAGGCTGAGATGCCCCTGACAGCACTGAGGAAACTCTAAAGACAAGGTCTGCCGTGTAATAGGCAAATATTTCATTAGCTAAATGACTGTCAAGTTGACAGGAGGGTGGTTTTTGCTCCAAATTTGAGTCATGCCCAAGATCAGGAAATATTTGCTCTGCAAATAACTACTTAGAAGTGGGGGGAGAAGTCAGGCCACAGTCCTAGTGGTCCTTCGGAAGACACCCTTAAGAACAGGAGGAGAATTCTGCATTAAAAAATCAAAAGCAAGTTACCCAAATTGGTTGCATTTCACTTGTTTCATCGGTTTCATTTTACAAATCTTTTTCTGTCAGACTGGGAAAGAAAACTGGGATTTGAAACAGAGGAGGAGTACACTCCCTTAAGAAACAGACCTCGGTTTCCAAGTTAACCGCTTAAATCCCATAACTGCAGGCAACACCACCCCACCCCACTTCATTCTCCATTACTTGGAGACAGCAAAATCGGCTGTTTTCTTAAAATATGGCATAGCAAATATAGGAAGGTCTACATTGACCTGGAGACCCTCGCTGCCGAAGGGCTTTTCTGCACAATGGCGGACAACGTTCAGCCCCTTTCAGGGCCCTTCCTTCATAATCTTATTATTCTACAGCAATCCCAGCACCCTGCTGGGTCCAACACATCTATCATCCTCATCGGAAAACACTCTGTACGAGAAAACCCAGAGATAAGGAGGACGGCGCTTCCTCCGGCTTTAAAGTTAAATCCTGTCTCAGCATGTAGCCTCCATGAGAATTTGTTAGCTTCAGGGGCTAGATATGTGGCACAACATAAAGGAATGAATACAGGATATTTTTTTTATTTAAAAAAAGGTTCCCATCACACCCCAGTCTCTCTGAAGGCACAAAGCAAGGACACGGGATCAGCTACTTACCTGAATCTTCACAGCAATGAGCACAGAGCTTAGCTCCTTGTCCAGTTCCCTCAGCACAGTCAGCTTCTTCAGGCGAAGGCTGCACAGCCTGTAAGACAGAGAGAATGGGACACATTCAGGCACCACCATCCCAGGGCCCCTGCCGCATGGTACCAGGAGCTCCGAAGACAGAGAGGATGGCTGGCAGGCCACCACTGCTCCTCAGCCGGTCGCTTGGCCGAGGGACATCGGGATTCGTGCGACACAGAGAAAGCGGATCAGGGAAATAGGAAAGGAGGAAAATTAACAGAGCTAAAGCAGGATTAAGGGGATTATGCCATGACAGTCACAGCCCATGCGGAGGAGAGATCCCTGCCCAAACGGGACCACTGCCAGCCCTGCACACAGACACCTTCGCAACGACGAGTGCCAGGTCTCAAAAACTGCAGCACTTCAAGCCATCTTTAATTTTTTTAAAAAGGAACATTTGCCCCTGGTTGTTTATATCACACCTGACCATGCTTTAAGTGACATTTATTGTCACCGGTCTCTGTCATAGGCAGCCGATCTTCCAACTGGACACTGGAGGAAAACTGGAGATGGGCAACAGCAAGTTGTGCAGGCTGCCAAGAGCGTTTCCAAGTGTGTGTTCTAATCTCTGCTCTGCCAAGTCTCACACTATTCCCTGGACCACACCAGTTCTTGCTCCCTATTTGGTCAGCCATGCTTTCTTTTTTTAAAAATCAAGCGCATAATGGCCCCATTCTTCACCAGTTCATCCACACTGAATAAAGAGGGACGGGCAGAAGAAAACCAGTCTTGTCTAGCAGCTTCATAAAACTGAGATGGCTGAATAAAGGGTTGAAGCTGGGGGAAAGGAGGCAGAAGGCATTAGTAGAACGTATTGCTGCAGTTATCACTACACATCTTAATGCACAATGTGACTGGAGGTATCCAGCCCCTGTTTCTCCAAGACCCTTTGTCAGCATCAATATGGGGGTCAAGAATAGCACTCTGCTTGCCAGGTGTAGTTACGCAACAGCCATACAGGACCAAGAAGGAATACAGAAGTTCTCATGCAAATGTACCCTGCCGGCAGAGATCCACGTGTATGTATTTTGTAACTGTGTTCTACAACAGCGTATAAATTAGTATTAAGCAAATAATTCAGCATCTTGAGAATATCCTTTCCACTTTTTAAATGTATGCTTCTAGCCTCAAGTCTTTGAAGACAACTTTGTTTTCAATATTTTATTGAATTTCCAAAGAGTTGTTGTGACTGAAACACAAAAACTAACATCATGCAGTTGTATAATAATTCTTTTCCAAGCATCATAATAGTCCAATGTTTTCTTCAACATTACTAATTGTGTTTTGGAAACTAAATCATGAACCAGCCCCACCACCACCATAAAAAAGCGCCAGTTTACTTGGACAAGACCCACTGGAAGTCTGCCCTCTCTGTTTCCTCTGCACAAAGTATCCCACATCTTAATTAACCACATCTTAACATCTGGCACGTTAGAATCTTTCCAAAGTCATGTCAAACATATTTGTGCAGTAACGATTGGATACTGAACAAGGCTCTGCCAGTTGTCTTCTTTCTTTCCTTTTCAATATCTGCTTGGATATTTCCAAGTAGCGAGGTCTCACAGGAGTCCAATTGCTGATAATCATGAAGACAGATATAAAAACGTGTGAGCAATGCCTGATGAAATCTCAGGATTCAGAGGGAGGCCTTCCACCGGCCAGGGTGAAAGGCTTCAATACCCTGTACTAGAATTTTGTAGCAGAAGCAAAACTGTGCAAGCTAAGCAGCTATGCAAATGTGTGCAATATGCATCATGTATACTAGTCGCAAATTCAGTTCTTCACAGCATACAATCAGGGTTACCTTAAGGCAGAATTCCCTATTCCATTTACTAGCATGCCTGTTAACCCTTTTTTGGCAAACACTGATGTGGCGGAGGGCATAAGAGAGGGGGATCAATTAACAAGCCATATAGCTACTTAGGTGTGCTCACAACAGCTAGAGTGGTAAAAACTTGGAAGCCTCCTGGTTAGCTTAGTTTTGTGTCCGAGATCTACTGCGCAGATTTTGGGGAGGCCATGGAGCTTGTTGGTTGCCTCCAGTTCCGTATCCTTCCAGGACAGGCAGCACTGATCCAAGGGCAGCCACTAGTTCCCAGGCTTTAAATGGCTTGGGATGTTAAAGGCTGAGCTCGTATTAACAGGATCAGCCTTACCTCATTGCTCTCAAAAGAAGCAGCCAAGGACCCCTTTCTGCAGGTCAGCCCAGCATGTAGCAGACTTGTTTATGAGTGCCTTTCTGTGCTCCTCTTTAATCCTGCTCAAAACCCAGGCTGATTTCGCACAAGGAGCTGCGCCGCCGTCACGCCTCCCTTTGCCCCGTTTCCATTGGTCAATTTCCCACTCGAAGCCACATGGCCGCATTTTGACCCGCGGCTTCGCCCTATTTCCCCCCGCGGTTTCATGATCCTGTTTTTTGAGGATTAGGAAACCGCGGGGAAAATCGGGCGAAGCCACGGGTCAAAATACAGCCGTGCGTCCTCGAGTGGGAAATTGACCAATGGACATGGGGCAAAGGGAGGTGTGACGGCGGCGCAGCTCCTTGTGCGAAATCAGCCCCACTGTTATTCACCATCCTGTTCTGGAAGACCTGCTGACTTACCCCAGACATGATAATTCAGTGCTGAAGGAACATCCCCTCTCCTCTGTGTGTTTGTTCCCTAAATCAAAGTCCATGTGAACCTGGTCCATGATAAACATGCCCCACCCCCAGCTCTGCACTAAAAAAATAGCTGAAAGAAACTCTCTGCTGCCCACCAGTGGGGTAAGAGCCAGTGTGGTGTAGTAGTTAAGAGTGGTGGACTCTAATCTGAAGAACGCAGTTTGATTCCCCCCTCCTCCACACGAAGCCTGCTGGGTGACCTTGGGCCAGCCACAGTTCCCTCAGAACTCTCTCAGCCCCACCTACCTCACAAGTTGCCTGTTGTGGGGAGAGTAAGGGAAGGCGATTGTAAGCCACTCTGAGACTCCTTTGGGTAGAGAAAAGTGGGGTATAGAAACCAACTCCTCCTGTTCTTCCATACCAAGGTCACAGCAGTCACCGGACATGTGTACTCCATCACGTCTCTAGGGAATATCCAGTGCAACATAACCCAGCACAATAACTCTTACCTGAGAGTCCTGTGAAAACATATGGAGAATTTCTCTCCCCCTTCCCTTTGCCCACCAATCCAGGGGCAACTAGTGTGACATGAGGAACTACACAACTGGATTACTTCCGTGGGCAGCAGGCAAGCGTGGCACAGACCCCCCACTTGTCTTTATTACTGTTCTAATGGCTCCAGGACAGAGTCGCCACATTCAAAGAAAGCCCTGTCTAGTCACAAAAAGTGTTTTGACATGCAGGTCAGGTATCCATATTTATCTGAAAGTGTGCTAACATGGGACTTACTGCCAGGTAAATTCAGTGCAACTCCAGGGAAGCAGAATGTTATTAACTTTTTTTGCTAACACGGAGTTTAATTAGGGGGAAAAACCTAAATCGAAAACAAAGGATTAACATAAAAATCTGAAGCGTCACAATTCATTTGCACCGTTATGACGGTCAATGTCCTTCAATAAAGTACAAAATAAAAATGTCAAATGTCAGCTATTAACAGTATACACCTGTCAAGGACCCAAGCCTGGGTCCCTCAGAGCCACTACCCCTTGGGCAAGCAAGTAGAGCTCAGAGCTATGGGTCCTCAAGGTTATTTGCACACAAGAAAACAGACCTCAGTAAAATCTATGAAGTTTTATTAAACACTTTTAAGAAATAACATATCAATAGACAACACGGTCTCTACAATCCTACAACAAGAAAATAAGAAAAGCTAACTTCTTTACCTAATATTCAATACCTGGTATTAGATGGCTCACCTTTTAGAATATCGAGTCCAAGCTAGAGGCTTAAGCATTGTCTACATAGCAGTCGATCGCAATGGGGCTTGGCATAGGCAGAGCCACTGCCCAGTTGAATCATGACGTTATCATGGCTTCCTTCTTGTCTATGGCTTAATTATAGTCTATAGCCATCTGGCACCAGGTGGTCTCCCCAACTCAGTCAGGGAGCTCGCCTGATAGAACCCTCCAGAAGATGATGATATCCACTCCTGCTTCCCCCCTCCCATCTAGTTACAGTACTGAACAAAGGTTCTCACAATAGCCAATTACCACATGAAGGAGGAGGAGGAGGAGGAGGGGATTGGATTTACACCCCGCCCTTCACTCGGAGTCTCAGAGCAGCTTACAAACTTCTTCCCCTTCCCCTCCCCACAACAAACACCCTGCGAGGCAGGTGGGGCTGAGAGAGCTCTGACAGAAACTGCTCTTTTCAAGAACAGCTCTGACAGAACTATGGCTTGCTCAAGGTCATCCGGCAGCTGTGAGTGGAGGAGTGGGGACTCAAACCTGGTTCTCCCAGATTAAAGTCCACGCACTTAACCACTACACCAAACTGTCTCTCTGTCTTAATAAACTGGCCTTGAAGGAGATAAGAATGGTGTAGGCAGGGAGGCCCAATTATGGACAGCAGAAAGCCGGAGCAGGCCTGCTAATATTCGTGTTAACCCTTGGGGGGAAATCAGGATAGTTTGCCTCACAACATCTATATTGCATTCTCAACCCTCTCAGTAAAATCCACATATATCATGACAAAATTGTTGGTGTTTCAGAGTTCTAGTTTTGGTGTCACAACCAAGAAGGCCCTCTCGGAATGCTGGGGGCACCCAAAGCAGGGCCTCAGAAGATGACCATAGCAGTCAGGTAGGTTCATAAGGGAGTAGGTGGTCCCCTCAGGTACACTAACATACAGACAAGGCTGAAGTAATGTCTATAATGCAGCTTCATCTTGCTGCTCAGGTGTGTATGTGCATGAGGAAGGGGGATTTTCTGTTACATCTTATATTTGAAGAATACCTGATCAAGACAAATCACACTTCCAGCAACTGCCTACCTAAGCATACCTATTCCGAGCCTTATGCCTTTCTTTTTTTTTTTTTGGTAAACAAATTTTTTATTTTCTCAGGAATACAACATATAAAACATTTCATTCTATCAATTGTCTACCCCATTCCCAGTTCCTCCCCTCCCTCCAATGGCTTCCCACAATGCTTCCACCCCTGCTCCAAATTACTTCATATCATCAACAATATCAGTTTTTCATCATTACAATCTAAAGATAACATCATTTGACTTAATATTGATCTAAACATATTAAGTTTTGTTTCACATCCCAGTTCTTTTCCAGATAAATTTTAAAATCATTCCATTCTCCAAAAAACTCATCGTCTTCTTTGTTATTCAATTTTTTTGTAATCTTATCCATTTGTGCCATGAACAGAACTTTTTGTATCCATTCTTCAACCTCTGGTACCTTTTCTGTCTTCCAAAACTGAGCATAAATCATTCTCGCTGTCACTATCAGGTACCAGAGTAAGGTCTTTTTAGTCGTATTGACTTCTTCCATTTTAAGTCCCAAAAGCAGAATTTCCGGTGCTTTTTTAAAAGAACATTTCAATATTTTTTGCATTTCACTGTGGACTTTTGTCCAAAAGTCTACAGCTTTCTCACAAGTCCACCACATATGATAAAATGAGCCCTCATGCCTCTTACATTTCCAGCATTTGTTTGACATATTTTGATTCATATTTGCAATTTTCTTAGGTGTCCTTATTCATGTTAATAGCCCATTTTAACATTTGTTCTTTAACAGTTTCATCTTCACACGGACCTCTTTCTTTGTTACACAAGCCTGCTCTTCCCACGTTATTGTTCGTGAGTTTCGATTTTACAGTTGCGCACACGCCTCAATCTTCACCACAGGAATGTTAAACAATAAGCGTTTTTACAGTTTTTAAAAGCTTCAATCAACTTTTTTTCTCTCCGGAATCGGATTTCTGGGATTTACTATTCATTTTCCGCTCAACCGCTTAATTCAAATTGGCTCCAAACTCAGTTCAGGTAAGCGGCGCGTTTTTGTTATCTAGCATGTTCAAAACGGGTTTCGCATTGTTTCTTTTAACTCACAGTTGTTGTCCTTCTTCAAAGAGGTCTGCTGACGAAGAATTTATGCCGGTAGTCCGGCTCGATCGGCCACTATAGAGTTGCTTGGCACTTGCCTTCTTCGTGGGAGGAGGTCAAAGCCCAATTCAGCTTCTTCCGAAGCTGGATTACGCCAACCTCACACTCCCTCTAGGGCGCTGCTGCCTGCTTGTCCCCCCCCCTCGCTGGGGAGTGATGCGTTGGGCTGTATATTGCCCAAACTGTCGAAAGTGGCCGTCGCTCGCTTCGCACGATCGCGAAACGCTTCAGTCCTCCATCTTAGCTAGACCGGAAGCCCCGAGCCTTATGCCTTTCTGATGAAGTGTCCTTTGACTCTTGAAAACTCATACTCCAAAATTCTTGTTCTCTAATGTGCTAATGGACTCAAATCTAGCTGTTCTACTGCAGACCAACACGGCTACCCTCTGAAACGTGTTCCTTTCTCTTACCTTTGCCAATCGGGCAGAAACAACTGTATGAATTTACTTTCCCCAGCATAAGGTGCCCTGCTAGATCACACCTTTGGTACATCTAATGCAGGGTTGCCACGTCCCCTCATTGCTCCGGAGGGAGAATTTGGTGGGGCGTTCTGGGACATCATCACACTGGGGACACTGCACATGGACGCTCTGGTTTAAGGGCAAAACTCAATGTTAGAACCTACTTAAAACCATAGAGTTTTGCCCTTAAACCAGAGCATCCCAGCATGATGATCTCACTTCTGGTGACATCATCATGTTGGAGAAGTTGCATGGCAACGTGGTTGTTTAGAGGGGTTTTCCCCCACTGGCCACAAGACCGGTAGGAGGGAGAAGCCCCAAAAACCAGGGGAACCCCCTCCCCGACCTGGGGACTGACAAGCCTAATCTAGTGCAGTATCCTGTTTCAACAGTGCCCAACCAGTTGCCCTGGAGGCCCAAAGAGGGCATAGAGGCCTTCACTCTGATGCTACCTTCTAGCACATGGTTGTATAGCCTGTGGATATGGAGGCTCCCTTTAGCCATTGTGGTTAGTAGCCACTGATGGATCTATCCTCCACAGATCTGTCTAATTACATTACTATAGCCACTGGCTGTGAATTCTACAACTTAATAACTCGTGTGAAAAAGTGCTTCCTTTGTCCTCTTAGAGAACGCCATT